ACACTAACAAGTTCTCTTTTGGGAACTGAAAAAATAATCCTATGATTTAGTTGGAAAAAAAGTGGAAGAAATTGCATAGAAAACTGGAAAAGATGAGTAATGAGCAGATTATATTTCAGGAAATATGCTAGGAATGAGGTAAGGTAAAGGCTAAGGAATGATCTGCCTCTTGAAGTACTTGAAATCTACAGGAGACACATATGAAAAAAAGCACAATCAAGAATTTTAGCTGCTATGAGAGACGCTTGACAGTAGAATACAAGGAAGGCAGTGGTCAATTATACCAAGATGGGGAGATAAGCCACCCCTGAATCATCTTGAAAGATAAGTAGATGTCTCCCAGCTATGCAGCAGGAGATGGGATTTAAAGCCATTCCAGAAAGAAAGATAGTAATGTAAGTAGACATCAACAGGATGTTTCTTTTTTTCCATTAATTTTATTGGTATATTTTGGGTCTATAATATGCTGATATTCATTATTGGGAGTTTATACCTTTACATAATATACCTTGGTTCTTATTTTTGTTCCTGATTCCCCTGCCCTCCCTTAACATGATATTTCTGTGTGTGTGTGTGTGTGTGTGTTTACCCACACACACATACACACAATGTTAGTTAAGCATAAGACTTTTAATTGGACCTATTGGAACTATAATAATGGGTTATAACATGGCAGGCCTTACTATTTATCCCCTTGGAAATGAAACTAAGTGTTAAAAGCAGGCAATACTGTAAAAACTATGCATTTTCAAAGAAACAGTAGCTCCAGAATAAAAGACACATTGGAGGTCAGCACTATCAGAGGTGACAAGAACAGTAGGGAGCCAGCTGTTAAAGCCATCTAGGGTAGAAATGGAAAGACTGATTTAAGACATTAACATTTGGGTAACAGAAGGGTATAAATCACAATTTCAAAAGATGTCACTTTTCAAATTATCACACAAATCAAAAAGTTTAAATGTAATGCTATGCAATTCTGACAATGTTGAGGTTAAACAGATCTGCATATACTGATTTAGTAAACACCTAAAGACACATACTATGAAAATGGTTATGTTAACTATGGTGTATTCACTGGATAGGTCATCATGCAAGCAATGATTGGAAGCATAATTTTGAAAAACTTGTGGTCATGTGGGTATGTTTATTAGATACATATCTATATTCACACATTCAGTCAATGCTTATCATAGAGAGTGGAAACTGCTTTATACAGCAGTAAAAACATACAGACTTCCATCTGTATGAAATTTAGTCTCTAATGAAGGATGCAGATGATGAACCACAAAATAAACAATTTGTCCCATCTAAATAAAAGCAATTGGTCAGAAGTATTATGACGGAAGAGAACAAGTGTGACACATGAGACAAATAGAGAACCCACCAAGACATCTCAGGGAAAATAATATATCTGGGCTGACATTTAAAGAGATTTCCCAATGAAACTGAGCCAGCCATATGGAAACCAAGAGAAATGAGAGTCAGAGGAAAGGGGAAAATGTAGCTCAGAGGCACTGTGGAAGAAGGCTGCCTGACACGTTTGGTTAACTGAGAAGGACACCTGCAACTGGGTACAGTGAAAAAAACGATAGAAAGGATAGCAGTTGAGAAGACCGTTAAGAGGCTGAACTGTGTGGAGCTATCCTGCAGCTCTCCCTCCAGCTGCCGGACCTGGGCAGCAGACTGGTAAGAAGCAGAGCCACGTGGGCACCTGCAGCCCCCTCCCACAGAACCCACACACACACCTCTGGCCTCCTGCCTTGGCTGTTACCTGGATTCACACCACAGAAGCACAGGAGGGTCATAAAGGCCATTGTCCTGAGCTCCAGCCACATTTTTTTATTTAATTCACACAGTTAAAGATGATAGATTAATAACTACCACAAATTGTCATTTTCTAAGCTGTGCTTGATGCTTTTGTGTGGCTGATTGTATCACTTGGGCTAAGATGTTGTGATTGATCTAATCAGTTGTCCTTCCTGGTATAATGAAAAAGAGATTGCCTCAGAGTCATTAGACACTCAAAACCTAAAGACTAGCTATAACAGGAAGATCAAAGTATTAACCCAGGTATCAAACCAAGGACATTATCAACAACAAAAATAGAACTGGAAAGACATTCAAACAAGTCTCAAGCATAAACACAAACTTCCAGCTTACTAAGGGCAAATTCTCGGGAAAATTAGGTGGAAAATTCTGATAATCAACCACCTGGACACCCTGAACTGATAGCACAGGAAGTAACAAAACAGATGAATGAGGCTCTAGAAAAATTCAAAACAAAAATAATTTCCCAGATAACTACAGAGATGGTAAGCAGAATGTATGGCATGACTAGAGACTTGAGAACAGAAACAGATAAAAAATATATGTGCTCAGGACCATGATAGAAGCCATGAACGCCCAGCATAGGAAAGAAATGGAAACCATGAATGCCCAACATAGGAAAGAAATATAATCCATAAAACAGATTCAAACAGATATGCAGGAAATTAAAAACTCTATTGAAATTATACATAAGAGATTAAGCCAATCTGAACACAGGGTATCAGTTATAGAAGACAGGATGGAGGTCAGTGACCGTGAAAAGAAGGATCTCTTCAAAATAGTAAGGGAACATGAGAAATCAATCCAAGAGCTCCTAGATGACACAAAGAAGAATAATATAAGACTGATAGGAGTCCATGAAAAAGAGAAGAAAGTACAAATGACAATGAAAAACTGTTCACAGAATTAATGACAGAAAACTTCCCAAACAGAGCAAAAGAATTTGACCTACAGATGAGTGAGAAATATAGGACTCCGATTAGCCATAATAAAAAAAAAATCTACACATAGACATATAATAATCAAGATCCCAGAAACCTAACAGAAGAACAGAAAACTACAAGCAGTTAGAGAGAAAAAAAAATCACATGCAAAGAAGAGCCCATCAGAATCACAGCAGACTTTTCAACATAAACCCTCAGGTCAAGGAGAGCCTGGAGTGAGGTATTTCAAGAAATAAAAGAAAACAACCTCCAACCTACACTGATATATCCTTCAAAATTATCTTTCAAAATTGATGGGGAAATAAGATACTTCCACGACAAAAAAACAACAACAACAACAACAACAAAAAAAAACACAAATAAAAACCTGAGAAACTTAATGAATACAAAACCAGCACTCCAAGCAATTTTAAACAATATCCTAGCAAAAGACAATGAAGATCAAAACTCCATGAGGCCCTACAGAGCAAACCCAGCAGGCAAGGCAAGAAATTAAAGGGAGGGGGGGAAATTAAAAAGAGCCAACAACAGTATAATAACACAATGATGAGAAGTCAATACACATCCGTTATAATGATCAATGTTAATGGCCTCAATTCACCAATCAAAAGAAATAGACTGGTAGAATGGATTAAGAAGTAAAATCCAACAATATGCTGTATACAAGAAATGCACCTAGCTCAAAAACAAACTCATAGACTGAAAGTAAAAGGATGGAAAAAATAGTTCTCCATGCATCAGGAACCTGGAAAAAAGCAGGGGTAGCTATCTTATTTGTAGACAAAGTAAATTTCAAACCAAAACTAATTAAGAGAGATAAAGAAGGTCACCATATCCTTGTAAAGGGAACAATTCAAGAGGGAGAGATAACAATCATAAATATACATGCACCAAATACTAAGGCCCCAACTATACAAAACAAATATTAAGGGCAGTAATAAAATACCCCACTGTCACAAACAGATAGGTCATCTAGGCAAAACAACAACAACAACAACAAAATACTAGAACTGAACCAAGCTTTTGAACAAATGGACTTAACACATGTCTAAATAGTGTCTCACCTTACAAAATCAGAATATAGACTCTTTTCATCTGCACAGAGGTCATTCTCCAAAATAGACCACATACTAGCTCATAATATGTTTAAGTAAATGCAAAGGAGTTGAAGTTATCCCACATACATTATCAGACTATAGTGCCATTAAACTGGAGATCAGTAACAAAAGAAACCACGAGAACTTCACAAACACATGGAAATTTAATAACACTCTCCTGAACAACCAATGGGTCACAGAGGAAATTAAAGAAGGAATTAGACAGTTTTTACAAATAAATAATGCCGATACAGCATACAGGAATCTATGGGAAACAATGAAAGCAGTTCTATGAGGGAATATAGCAGTGAATGCCCACACTAGGAAAACAGAGCAAGCTCAAAAAAACAACCTAATGCTGAATCTTAAGCTCCTAGAAAAAGAAAAGCAAGACAAACCAAAAGTTCGTACAAGGGAGGAAATCATAAAGGTCAGAGTAGAAATCAATGCAATGGAGACTAAGAGAACGACACAAAACATCAATGGAACAAAAGAGTTGGTTTTTTAAAGAATAAATAAGCCAACCTTGTCAAAAAAAGGAAAGAAAAGACTCAAATCCATGTGATTAGGAATAAAAAAGGTGAAGTCACAACAGATCCAGGAGAAATCTGAAGGTCATCAATACCTACTTCAAGAACCTGTACTCTAAAAAAATGGAAGACAAAAGAAATGGACAGATTTCTTGATACTTAGGAATTACTAAAGTTGAATGAAGAAGACAAAAAAATTGCAAACACCTCAAATACAATCAGTGAAATTGAAAATGTAATTAAAAGTTTACCAACAAAGAAAAGTCCAGGTCCTGATGGTTTTACTGCTGAATTCTACAGAGGAATTACTGCCACTACTTTTTGAACTTTTCAATAAAATTGAAAGGGAAGCAGTACTTCCAAATTCATTCCTGGAAGCAAGTATTACTTTGATTCCAAAACCAGGAAAAGACCCAAGCAAAAAGAGAACTACAGGTCTATCCCCCTTCCCTTGGATGTGAGTGCAGCTGCAGGAACGCAGGCCTAAACACTGTGGACTGGCGATGCGAGCATCCCAGGTGGTGAATAATAGCTCTTCAAGTCTGCAATAAAAAAAATGGCTTCCAGTAAAACTGCATTGCAAAAAATTGGAAAGAAACAAAATGCCAAAAGTTAAAGTTGAGGAAACAGAGCCTGAAGAATTTGTGGTAGAAAAAGTACTGGCCCATCATATGGTGAATGGGAAGGTGGAGGATTTTCTGAAGTGGAAGGGATTTACAGATACCGACAACACATGGGAGCCTGAAGAAAATTTAGATTGTCAAGAATTCATTGAAGCATTTCTTAATTCTCAAAAAGCTGGTAAAGAAAAAGATCGTACAAAAAGAAAAGCTCTATCTGACAGTGAATCTGACCATAGCAAATCAAAAAAGAAAAGAGCGGCTACTGACAAACCTAGAGGCTTTGCTAGAGGTCTTGATCCTGAACGAATAATTGGTGCCACAGACAGTAGTGGAGAAAGGATGTTTCACCTGAAATGGAAAGACTCTGAGAAGGCTGACTCGGTGCTGGCAAAAGAGGCAAATATGAGCTGTCCTCAAATTGTAATTGTTTTTTATGGAGAGAGATAACTTGGCATTCTTGTCCAGAAGATGAAGCTCAATATCTTACATCATATATATATATAATATACATATATACACATATATATATGTATATGTATATATATTTATATATTTATATTTATATTATATGATATGGTCTTGGTTTTTGATTTACTAGTATAGAAAACACCAAATTCTAATGAAAATCAAGTTTAATATGTTCGTTTTGAAAGTAGTATTTGGGGGATACATTTTGAGGATATACTCCTAAGTGAAATAAATAAGTCATACATGTGTAAATACCCAATAATTTCTCTGCTGTGAATAAACTATAATAGTACACAAGATCCTAATGAGATAATTGACAATGGGAAATAGGAAGAAAAGGGCTAAAGGTGTAGGGAAAGTGGGAAGGGTAGGGGAAAGGGAATAAGGGAAAAGAAAAAAATGAGAAAA